GGAGATGAAGAGGAAGTGGTGAAGGGAAGAAAAGGCTGATTGACTTCTGTCTCACTCCCAACACCTGAGGATAAGTGCTTCTCAGTCTCTCGGATCCCTATGTTGTTCTAGGCCTTGGGATTAGTTGACCTTTTTTAAACCAAGGTGAGCTAGTTGGAAATTTTAATTTCTTTCCATTAGTAAGAGTTAAGTCACTTGTTGCACCTTTTTATTGCTTTTAAAAAAGTCCTATAATAAACTCCTGCAACATCCAAACCTTCTCATACTGAGAACCAGTCAAGCCTTCCTGTTGGAAATACCCTTCCATCTCCATAACAAAATTCTTGCCCTCTCCCTTGTTTTCCTGGTAAGAAAAGGGGTCTCTGCTTCTCTAAGAGGTGTATGCTCTGATATCTGCAAGTGGGGCTGCTGCAGAGTGCCGAGAATTTTCTTTCAGGCTAAGTATACTATTGTTATACTGCTGTTACCTTAGACAAGTGACTCGATTTAGAGTCTCATTTTCCCCCGTAAGATGGGACTAAAAAAATTACCACTCCATAAAGTGATTTGAAATCTTTGTTTGAACAATACCATAGATGCTAACTCTTGATGGTGGCTAACTCCAGATAATGGGCACTGTGTGTCATGTACAGAGCTTGACTATATACCCTTCTTGAGTTCTTTTCCTTACTCCAAATAGTAACATTTGCTCTGGCTTTGTCTGGTTAACCCCATTTATGAAAGGGGGCGTGCAGACACAACATTTATAAACTTGCCAGACTAAAAGCAAGCCACACTGCCATAATTTTATCCAATAATTGCCACTGTAAATCCAGCAATAAATTGGTTGGGTAACCACATTCCATGAGCCCACTGCCAAATGGAAACCACGGAGCTCTTGAATTGACTAAATCCAGCTTAGTCTTCATGGCAGCTGATAGCGGATAGGGCACTTCCTGGGTTCTGGCCTGTAGTTTATTCTGTCTCTGAGCTGATTCAAAGATGTCTTTACAGGTACACAGCCAGGGCTTTAACTGTGCTTCTCAAGTGATGTTGGCAACATCTGTGGGACTTAAGCATTCAGTGACCACTTTCTTTTGCTTCATTATGTGCTGCAGGAGACTGGGCAACTGTAAGAAATACTATTTGAGAACTATCTGTGTACTAGTGTTCTGTTCCCTCTGAGATTTTCTGCACCTTGCCACCATAGATGGCTGGTGCCTTTGCCCCCCATGCAGCTGACTTCTGGGCCGGGTCTCCAATGTCTTTGGCCCCTCTGGTATTACCCCGGTACCTGCTTCGCTGCTCTCCCGCCCAAGCTGCCAGGCATCTCACGGCTCCTCCAGCCCCAGTCTCCTGCCATGTGGCTGGCTGCCCCAGCAGCCTCCTGCCACCCACTGCGCAGCTCTGCGTAGGAGGTGCATGTGTAACCCACACACTTGATATGGTTCACTATCCCGTGTAGTGGCACTTAGACCACTTCCAATGAGAGATAACAAAGGAGCTCTACAGCATAAGCTGAGGGCCAGGTGGCTTTGTAGCTCAAGCTGTAGCATCTCCTACACTAAGCTCCTGAAGCCCCAGGTTCAAATCCACCTAGTGGCAGTTATATACAAGGTGGAAACTTGTTCTATGTGCAGCTTAGAGGGACGCCTGATGCTCAGTATGTTCCAGCCACAGCTGTTTGTTTGGCGGTACCCTGGATCAGCTTTTGCTGCTGAACATCTGATTGGAGGCACCATCAAACGTTTGTTTGGAGACTGGAGGAGCAGCTCGGAAGAGGGTAAAGGGCGGCGAGCGGGTGGGGGGGGTTCTCAGTGAGTGGGAAGAATAGGATAGGAAGAGGCAGAGTGAGGCCATGGCCTTCTGGATGGGGTGGAGTAGAGCTAGGGCCCCCTGGCAAAGCAGGGGTGGAGCACCCTGACAAAAAGAAAACTCATTGTCTATGGACAGGAGAGCTCACTATACTTGCAGTGCTCCTGGGGAGGACAGTCTTATGTACCCCAAACTTCACTTCTGCTTACAAAGTCAGACCTAAAAGTACAACAGTGTCATAGCACACTGAGATGGACAAATGGCCGACTTTCTCAAGTGTGGTACCTGAGCATGTTTGTTACTTGTGAGCCTTATCTGAAGCTTGAGCCCCAGGTGGCAGGACTGAAGCATGTAACTTAGTTTCACAATACCCCAGGAGGTTGCCAAAATGCCAGCCCTGCACTTGCAATCCCCCTAAACCTGTCCTGTGACTCCCTCCCCCACCCCAGTGTACTCGTGATTGAGACCACTGTACTAGAGCAGTGGTTCTCAGTGTGGTCTGTGGACCACTAGGGGTCCACAACCATCTTGCAGGTGGGTCGCAGGTTCAAGGCTCCCCCTCCTGCAGCAGGGAGTCCACGTTGGTGCTCCAGACCTGCAGCCCCCTCCCTTGCCTTGTTGGCACGCCAGCATTGGCTTACTTCCCACTGTAAGCCAGCGCTGGCGCTCCAACCATGCAAGGTTCTCCAACCATGCAGTGGCTCTGCACACTGCCACTGCCCCTACACCTGGCTGGGAGAACAAAAGCAGCACAGGAAATTGCTCACCTGGAGGCTTTCCCCCTTCCCCCAGCCCACTCCTGCACCCAACCTTCTGACCAGACTCAACCCCCAGTCCCACTTGCACCCATTTTGTCTATGGGTGGCTGACTGGTGGCCTGTGGAAAGGTCTGTGTTAAGTGGGATGGGCCAAGGGCCCAAAAGTTTGAGAATCACTGCAGAAAAGCACTCAGCCTTGTCTCCGAATTTGATCCTATGGAATCTTGACTTGTAGACCCCTAAGCCAGGTCCTCTGAGCACAGAATGCATTGTACATTTATGGGAACAATTGTATTCTGGAAACCAGATTACCTGATGCACTGTCCCTAAGTGTGCTCAGAGGGAGCCACCAAAAGGGAAGCCAGTTCTCATATTCCACTCATCAATTAACTGTATCCTCTAAGGATTTACATTCTATTCCACTTAGCTCATCTTGTCTTCCTTCTGAGGTAGATATTGAGGCCTGTGCAGTTGCTTGTGTACGGATGTATTTGGATATGACTCTTTAAGTAGAGGTCCCATCTTCTTTGTACAAGGTAGCCTTTCTAGCCCTTTCGTCTTCCATGTCCTTGGCATATACAGGCAGTCCCCGGGTTACGTACAACTTAGGGACTGTAGGTTTGTTCTTAAGTTGAATTTGTATGTAAGTCGGAACTGGAACATATTGTAGGGGAAACTCTAGCCAAACATTTCTCCAGAGCTCAGTTTTATTCTCCTACACCTCACTTCCCTCAGTCCTTTATTCTCAAGCTGAGGTGTCTGCTGAGAAAAGCCGCTCCGCGTCTCCCTGGTCTGTTGGGAGGAGGGGGGGGGCGCTAGCTTCGCGTCTCCCTGGTCTGCTGGGGGGAAGCAGCTAGTGCTGGGTTGCCTCACCCCATTTGTAAGTAGGGATCCGATGTAAGTCGGATCCATGTAACCCGGGGACTGCCTGTACTGCTTATTTTCCTTTATGAATGACTGGAAAGCTTTTTATAACAGTCCAACCACTGGATCATGTGGATTCTTTTGGTGGGAACAAACCAACAACAAGTATTTTGTGGTTTGGGAGCCATCTTAAAATGTTTTAAGCTTATGTTTGGGGGAGAAAGAGGGAATCAAATGGTTTTGTTTACATTTGCTTTGTCTGTATAGGATTCCTATCAGTTTGGTGTCCTTCCTGTTTTTACCCCGATCCTTTGTGCTGAGTTGAGAGTGTGTGCGGTGTGGCATTTTTCCAGCGAGTGGCCCTAACATAATGACTGTTATTTTAGAAAACCTAATACACAGGCAACCCTAGCAGCCTACCATACAATGAGGCAAAGTGATTACATGCTGTGGAGGAAATGAAATTGTCCTGTCTGGTTCATAAACAGCCCCAGGTTGTTCTTATTTTAAGACAGTGCAGTTGGAGTGGAGGAGGGTGACTAAGGACCACCCCTACGTCTCTTGAAAATGCAGGTGGGGAGCTGGGATCTTTTTACTTTCATCTAACTAATCACACCATACTTACAAATCCATCTCTTTTAGAACAGGCCAAAGTGCAGCAAATAGAGGCTTATGAAAGAAGTAGGTATGCTTAGAGACAGAAGTCTACTGCTTTCTTTGGAAGCACATCTGGGTGCAAATGTATCTGTCCCATCTTTTCAATAGCGGGTTGAAGTGCTGGTGAAAGTTGCCAGAGGTTCCTTTAACTACTAAGGCATGGGCAAGGTTAGTGCCGGCTTCCTGTACACACATACTTTTTCAGTCCTGTTCTAGGTGGGCTGCTTCTAAGGGGCAAGAGAAGATGAATTGCTCATGGCCCACTACATCCTTGCTCTCAGGGCCAGGCCAATGTAATGGTAGTTGATGGAATTGCTCTGAGACCACCTACTTTTTTCACACAGACCTTTAACAGCTGTCAGATGGAGATGATTTTTGTCACTGCTGACTCAGAGTAGACTGAGATGTAGAGATGAAAGGTTCTGTATCCATTACTAATTTCCTGCTTACCATCCCTTAATGGTTTTTACCATTGAGAAAAGGAACCCTAGCTGATGAAAACCCTTCAAAGACACAGAGATGAGTGGTGGGATGGTGGTGTAGGTTGTTGAACCTGTTGTTGGTAGTTAACTTTTAGATGGACTTTTCCCATTGATGTTCCTTTTAAAACTGTTTAATAAATGAATGTATAGGTGAGAAACCTTGAATGATGATCATTGGTGAGGGAATAGCAAACCTGTGGCATGAGAGCTCAGACTGTTGGGAAGAATATTGAGTGCCTTATGACATTTTTTTACCCTTGTTTAACATAGCATTGTGCAATATCTTTTCTCTGCTTTACTGCAGCTAATTGCAGCTGCCAGTCCATTATTATGGCTTGATCTGAAATAACAGGCTTAGCATAAGAACTCTGCAGAAACCATTCCTTGCCAGCTGGCTGCCTCTAAATTTGGTACATGACTTACTATTGAGTTTTTTATCTTGCAGCATCTGGAGGGGACCAAATGTGAACTGCGTCGACAGTACTGGATACACTCCACTGCACCACGCTGCTTTGAATGGTCACAAGTAAGCAATTTTACCTTAGTGCTTCTTACCCTAAAGGATGCCTTTGTTTTACTATATACATAGAAATACAGAGAGAGAGGGAGAGAATGCTGTAAAATTCCCTTATTCCTCAGTATAATGCGGCTGCGTCCTGGATAGAACAAGACTGTGGTGCGATACTATACCACCTTCAGGACAAAAAGAGAATAACCAGGTATTGCTATGAATTGTAGGGGCATATTGTGCTGAATGCAATTAATCCCATGTAAAACTTGCTGAGGATGCTCAGGCTATCTCAAACACACTTTCCACTTTAATGGCCACAAATGACGAAAACCTCTAGTTGTGTAATTCATCCGGAAGATGACCTCACCAAGAATAGAGCTTTGTAGAATCTTACAAGTGTATTTGTATTAATGCTGCCCTCTGAGCGTGTATTACAACGTTGCTTCCGATTACTTGTTCACCCTGAGGTAGATTCCCCTGTACCCACTACCAGTGCAGTTGTAAAGAAATGACTTGCATCAATACAACAAACTGACACTGGTGGAAACCTGTTCTGACCTGCTGCACAGAGTGACCAAAATGTTCAGAGGTTTAAAAAGAAAGACCTATAAGGAAAAGTTGAAATAATTGGCGTGTTGTGTCTAGAGAAGAGAAGGTTGGGAGGAGACACGCCTTGAAATAAGTTACTATAAAGAGGATAGTGATCAGTTGTTACCCTTTGTGGACATGGAAAGACTGGAAACAGTTGGCTTAATTTGCAGCAATGGAGATACAGCGTAAATCTGAGGTGTTAGGAAAATGTTGTAACTCTAGGGATAGCTGCACACTGGAATAGATTACTATGGGAGTTTGTGGAATCTCCCTTCAAAGCTTTTTAAAACCGCTTTGACACATGCCTGTCGGGGATCATGTAGGTATATTTAATCAGCGTGTGGAAAGAAGAGGGGAGTGGACTAATGACCTCTTGAAGCCTCTTCTAGCCCCTCATGTTTTTAATTCTTAGGCAGCATTTTGTGGGAATGTTGAAATCCATAAAATTATCAAGGTAATAAACAATGATTACTGTTCAGATTTATTTTTTCTTATAATTCAGTATTCTCAAGGAGCCTAAACTTGTTGGAAGTGAACTGTGAAGCAGTAATCTTTTCCATTCTGTTGCAACAAGAGTACTTTGGAGACTGACAGCCACCCTTATTTTCCAGGGATGTGGTGGAAGTTCTGTTGAGGAACGATGCACTAACCAATGTGGCAGACTGCAAAGGTTGTTACCCTCTTCACTTGGCAGCCTGGAAAGGAGATGCAGAGATAGTAAGACTTCTCATCCACCAGGGACCCTCCCACACTAAAGTGAATGAACAGGTCTGACTATCTTGTCTAATGTACCAGCAGATTCATATTGCTAGGGTGGGGAGGGATGTGTTAGCCGCACGATGTAAGGTGCTAAGCAACTTAAACTTGGTTTGAATGTAGGAAATTGTTTCTTGGTATAATGCTCTAACTTGCTTAAACAATTGTTGGGTGTAAAAATGAGCAGTCTGTCAACCCCAGAGTGCCTGAGAAGTGGTTTGTTCTCTGAACATCATTTCCTTTCCAGTTGTTGGACAAAGATTGCTAGTACTGTCCAAGGATACACTGAACCTTCCTGAGGGAATTAATCAAAGCAACTTAACTTGTCCATACTCTCCAGTTCTGGTTATTAGCACTTGTGTTCACTTAACTAATTGTGTGAGGTTTTTTAAAGCCTGTAACCTGCATCAACCCTAGACACAGAACTGTAACATGTCAACTCACTCAGGCTAGTGGCTACTTGATATAAACATGCTTAATGTTGCCTTGAGGGCAGGGGACTGAATTAAAAACCTCTCAGTCCCTTCGAATCCTACGACTTTATGATTCTATGACTCTGCCCATTGCCTAAGCAGCCTGTTAATGTCTTCCTAGTGGTATTGCTGAGCTGTTGGCAGCATGTAAGGCAAATATACTCTTTAGTATCATTTACACTACCAGTAAACTTCCCTTATTATAAAGGTGTTCTCGAGTGGTTGCGGGAAAGAAACTCAGGAGTTCTGGGGTTCTATACTTGCCTCTGACCCACATTCCCTCTGTGCCTTGCACAAGATATGTAAATTCTCTGTTGTTCATGCACATTTCTTGCTTTGCGAGACCATTCTAAAGGCTGAATTACTTGTTCGCAAAACACTTTGAAGATGAAAAGTGCCATCGGTGCTAATTATTACCACTTGTCAATTAAGCAAAAATTGCTAATTGTGCGCATTTAAAATGCCTGGATAGTTGAGTTTGTCAATCATTTTTCAGCTTTGGGCCTACTAGTGCCCTGCATCACAGCTGCAGGCAGGCATTCATTCTGTATAAATGATGGTAGACTTAAGAAGCATACTAACATGTCTACAATCTGTAATGGAGTCAACCAAGTGTTGGTGTAAGTGTAAATGGGTCTGCTGTCTAAGAAAGCTATGCAGAAGATGGCGTTTAGTATAAACCTTCACAGTAATGTTTTGTTAATGTTTGTCTTAAATGGGAGCCTTTTTAGAACGAGAAAAGTCAAATAGCCTGCACACTCTAAGGATTTGTAAATTATGTGCACAATGGTTCAAATGATACCCTCTGCCAGTAGGAATGGCTTTTGAATAGAATGAGATGCCACAGTTTATCATTCCCATCCTTTGAGTCATCCATTGCTTTGTTACTGTATCTCACCCATTTCATTGTCACATTTTTTTCTTTTTCCTCTCCTTTTTGTAGAATACTCTTGAGATCAAAGAACTCAAAAAGTACGGCCCTTTTGACCCCTATATCAATGCCAAGGTGTGTACTTCGCTGTCAGGATTTCACTGCATCATTACTCCAAGCTGCACTCTCATGCATCCAGGTGTATTTTCATCCAGTTGGCTGATGATGCCTGCTCGGTTCCCAGCCACTTGAACAGTAAAATGCAACCATTTATTTGTGGTTTTCTTTTTAAGTCCATTCTAGAGAAAATTAGGGCAATCTGTTCCTTACTTTCTTGGGGCTCCGTCAGTACTTACAAGATTTATGGTTGTGGTCAATTTGCTTAGTTTGGTTGGGTGACTTCCAAAAGAGAACACTTTTAATAAAACGCTTCAGGTTTTGTTTCACACACTCAAATGGTTAATGAACAGAAATTGAAACAGTAATTTTTTTCCTAATTAAAAATGGCTGCATTTTCTTCATGCGGTTTTCAGAGTGAATGACAAATCTCCTTTGTATTGAGACGGGGACAATGTTATACGTTTTTCTAAACAGGTGGCAGGGGGCAGTAATGGCTGTACTGCCTGAGATCTCCCATTTTTTGCTCTTTGCATCAGTCTCTCATTTTGGTGTTGTCCTTGTGTTTTTGTGTCTGGTGCTCTATCCTTAGTGTTCTGTCTCTGTGCTCTTGCCTGTTGGCTTTTCTCTCTGCTTTCAGCAATTTGTCATCCCGAAAAGGGCACAAACGTGGGAATTAGGTATTGCCATGCATTGAAGCAGATGAATGTTTTTCTAAGGTCACTTATTCCGTCTCTCAGTGGATGGACAGACAGTACTGTGTTGCTCACACACCAGAGGGAGGAGGTGAGCAAAAGATAAAGTTGCCCCAGGGCCTGGGGCAGCAGCAGTGTCCAGAGCTCCCAAGCCCGTTAAATTGCCACTGAAGCACGGTACAATATGCCCCGTGCTCCTCTGAGTTGTGGGGGTGCTCTGGGCAGTGTGGAGGGCTGGCTGTCTCTGGCCCTGCCCCTTCTAAGGGTACGTCTAGACTTCATGCCTCTGGCGACAGAGGCATGTAGGTTAGACTACCCGGCATAGGAAAATGAAGTGGCGATTTAAATAATCACCGCTTCATTTAAATTTAAATGGCTGCCGCGCTGAGCTGATCAGCTGTTTGTTGGCTCAGCTCTGTAATCTGGACGCTCCACGGTCGACATCAAAGGCATTTGTCGACCTCCCAGGTATGCCTCCTGGGATGAGGATGTTGGTTCCCCTGCACACCTGACATGTTTAATTGAATTCTTTGTATGTCCATGCTTCAGGCATCTATCTTGCGATGCTTCTGTTTTCAACTATCACCCCAAGGTGGCTTCTGGACAGTTATTTTGGAACCAGCCAGCTGTGGCAGATTTTAGCTCTTGAAAGTTTAGTTAGAGTTGATGCTGCTTGATCTGCACTACCCTACATAGTCAGAGTTTTAGGTTTTGTTAGCGGATGGGAGGTAGGGTCATTGTATTAGCAGAGATCTGGTAAAGGGGTAGGGGACCTCCAGTACATACCTGGTTAACTGAAGTGAAGATCATACTTACTATATTTCCTTATTTCCTTCCACTATTTGATCTGAGGAAGTGGGTCTGGCCCACGAAAGCTCATCATCTAATAAACCATCTTGTTAGTCTTTAAAGTGCTACATTGTCCTGCATTTCACTTACTATAGGGTATTTTTTTTTAAAAGATGGAATTTTACATCAAGTCTCTTCAGTGGAAACATCCTAAGAACTGTGCCATTAACTGTTAAGAGGAGACTTGTAAAATATGGGGAGTTTGTAAGTGTTGCTTGGGAATGAAGTGCTGTAATGCGGTACTAATCGAAAATCTCTCTAGAGCTGTTAAGCTATGTACAAGTGGCACAAGTAAGTTAGGGAGAGAGCGATGGAGCCTGATGTATCACTTTGATATTGTAATTGTGTTGCTTACTTTAATTTGGCTAACATCTGTGAAGAAACTGGCCAGTCAACCAAAACCAGAGTAGAAAACCTAGCCGTCTTGCAGCTAACAGACAAATGAGCTATGCTATGCCATCTAGGTTATCTTGGTTGCTTTTTAGTTGGTCTGTGGAAACAAACTAATGGAGATGGGCTGGAAAATGTGATGTTAGCTACATGGGTTGATGATAAAAGTGGAATCATGCCATCTGGAGGCTAGGCCGATAGATGGTCAGACAACTGGGGATCCTCTTTTTGAAATGGTTGTGTTTTGGCATTGTTGGACGTGTACAGAAATTAGACTATTTGTTCAGTCTTGTGCCCTGTATGATTTGCTCATGGGAGTTCTGTGGGAGCAGCAAGGGGATGCAGACCCTTTTGTGGAATGGCATTGCTGTAATTGATACTGTGGCTTCCGGCTACTTAGCAACTCTGTTCTATCGGAATGTTACGGCATGTCACTGCTGGGGAGAGAGGGGTGTTGCTCAGCAAGTGTTTCTTTGATCTTGGGATGCCCGACACAGCAACCACAGCTAGAAGAACATCTGCGTGTCAGATTGTATTTCAGTGACTGATATGTGACGTACTGGGAGCAGAGCTGGGCCAGCAAATGAGGGTTTTGACTGCTGAGTTTCATTAGAAATGCACAAAACCCCAGATAACGTGTTAGGAAAGGGAACACATTATGGAAAGGTGTCAGTGCTAGTATTGATTGCTTCAGTACAAAGGGTTCAGTTTGCATTTAATAGGAATCAGGTCTGGTAAGGAATATAGTAGACAGGTAAAAATTTTAGCCAACACCTACAAGCTCCGGAGCCTGATGTTTAAGTTGAAGTCTTTTCCTCTTCTGCTTCCTTACTTGGAGATCCCTAGGCAAGTCTTATAGGAAGCTCAGCCCCCCCGCCCCCATTACCAACTGCCATAAAGGGGGATGGGATGACTACAGGAGTACTCTTCCTGGAACTACTCAGGGACTCGGTCATTCTTATCCATCTTTGACTAGTTAAGTCTGAACTTGACGCTCACTGTCTCTGGCCCATGGAACGGAGTTTTCTCTCCTGGCACCTAGTAACCTGGGGGACTGCCCTTCTATCATTTCCTGATCTTGTTGAGGCTGATTTTTTGGGGATGATGGTGAATCTCTTCTTCCCAGAATAGCTCTGGGAACGTGCTTGCCTTGGATGTTAGGTGTTCATAGCTTTCCCACTTCTTGTCCAGTTGGCTGTTGCCCACAGTGCATCTGTGGGTTTCTGATTTGTGTGTTCAATGATGGCTTCTGTGTGGCTGTTTGTCATGGATAACCCTCCATTGTTAACGTCATGGAAGTGCTCTGAAGGTAAATGCAAGGCTGCTCTACAGCAGTGTTCCCTGTAAGCTGAGTGCTTGGGCAGCCACCCATGAGAAGTTCGGGTGCTACCCATCTGATCAGTAGAGCGTCCACAGCCAGCGGCATGTGTTTTACTGGTGGTGCGCACCCCCACATTTTAGTGCATATGACAAAATTTATTCTGCACAACGATGGAAAAAATTAGAGGGAACATTGCTGTACAGGCTAGGCTTGAAAGTCAAGTGAGGGCATGTATGATGGAAAACTAGCATAGTGAATGTCTTTCCCTCCTCCATTTCTACTACTAGGAGTGGAGACCCATGAAAAAATGTCTTCCTGTCCGGCACTGTGGCAATGAGCATCTATCCAACTGAGTCCATAAGCACATCTGGCTCTTGCACAATGGTGGGGAAAGACATGGTTTAGATACTAATAGTACTGACTGTGTCATGCTGTGACCACATGGTAGAAAAGGAACAAGTTTTGGACTCCATCCTTCGTTCCAGAGCCTTCTCCCATCTCTCCGTAAGGAAAGGAAGGGTGGTCATTCATGACCCCGCCTCTTTGGACCTCACTTCCATCTGAAGGTAGAGAACCTATAGCAAATACTTCTCAGAGAATTACTTAATTGTATCTCTGAAACTGCAACAGACATCTACTTCTGCATTCACAATGCGCTCTGTGGGTCGTCTTGAGGGGTATGAATCTTGTGCTGGTGAAAAGTGCTTGGCTAGCCAACCCTAAAGGCGGAAAATTTTCTGTGCTTGTGCTATAAACTTTCCCATGCACAAGCCCACCATTGTGCCTCAGCCTGCTGGGCGAACCCAGCTCCAGAAGTGAGCCTAAATTGCCACGCTGTTCTGCAGAGATGGGGAAAATGTAGAGTGTATGTTTTGTGGACACTTTGCTTCTGAGACCTGCAAAACTCGTTTCATTGTCATGGAGAAGTTCAGGTGCTTCTGAGATGAATTGGATTCCAAATAGCAAACTGGAAGTGATGTTCCCCCTGGCCCTTTTCTATGGTCCAGTGAATAGGGCATGTAACTTGCAACTAGGGCTTCTGGGTTGGAGTCCTGGCTCCAATGTGGAATAGCTTTGACTTGGAATATGTCACTTATGTGCTGCTCTTTCCACCATCTGTAAAATTAGGCTGCTGCTACTTACCAAATCCTTGGTAAATGATTCGAGATGTTCAGATAAGGGGTGTTAATGTTTGTTGTGAGGGAGGTTTAGGTGTTCAGTCTCTTCCCCTTCCTCATGTGTATGTTATGTCGTCTTCACTTGGTATTTGCTGACCTGGCTCCCCTGCACTTAGTTGGTTTCTTATGGCTGCTTAGCCTGTGCTGTTAGACTGTGAAACTTGTACTCTAATAGTGATACCCTGCACCTCCCACACATTCCTCTTCTAAGTGTTGCTTATTTCTGCATGTGGCTGTGAATGCTTCTCACTTCCTCGTTCTGATTGTTTGTTTTTATAAGTGAAATCATGACTGTGAAGGCTCAGTCCCCACAGCTCCCTACTGTCTTTGTTTCATGTGGCTGAAAAATGATGCAGTCAAATACCAGATAAAAACCAGTGGGCGTTTGCATGCATGAGTTTATAATCGCTACGTTGTGATTTAACACGTTAGTAGGATTAAAGCACTCGTAGAGCCTGACCAGTTCACAGCTTGTTTCAATGGTAAATGGTGCAAAATATTGAGACTTTCCACTGCAATTCGTAATCCATGCACAAAACGGAAAGCATTTTTGCTACATATAATGAAATCTAGCTAAACAAATAGCTATCTTTAAAAAAAAAAAGGGGGGGGGGGAAGTGTAGTTAAAGTTAGGTTTTCTGTGCCACAGTGAGAACTCCTGTGAAAGCATCAGAGAGCGTACAAGTTGGTACTAGAAACTTTTTACATCCAAGCAGTCACTAAGTTCTTCAATGGAAATACCTCCGTGTATGTTATTTCTAGTTATACAGCTGTGTATGTTAATGAAGGTTGAGTGGAAAGCAGACTGGTTTAAATCCAGGGAAGGTATTTGCATATATTTTGCACCTGAAAATGAAATATTTCACAGATTTGCCTATAGTTACCCTGCACTGCTGATTTTTTTTTAACTTGACAGATGCTGCATGCATTAATTGGCTCAAGCTTTCACTATAGAGGCATTCACTTGTGGCTTAGACACTCCCCACTGCTGAATTGAGGGCTTGCCTGGGAAAGGCTGTTTGGCACAGTGCTGTGCTGCTCACTAAATGTCTTGCATTCACATATTTGCATGCAGTAATTTAAACCTAGTGCACATGCTTTTCAAAATGATCTACTTACAAGTTTCAGAATTGTAAAAGTGGAATGGCTATTATAAAGAATCAAATCCTCAATCGTAGGATAAATAACTGCTTTCTAAAAACAATTGAAGTTTAAATTTTAAACAGACAATTAAGTTGCTATAGATGGAATTCATATTGTGGTGTTTGCTTTTTACATTTTGCACTCACTGTTATGGTACCCAAGAGTGGTGGATGCTTCATAAATAGATAACAGGACCTTGCCTCCAAAAGCTTGCAAGGTAAATGGTAATCATAGAAACTTGTTCCTTCAGCAGATGGATACTTGCTTTTGTGTTTAATGTTTTGAAAGCAGTGTGCATCTGTATACAGCTGTTTCTTCCCCTAGATCAGAACACAAAGGTCTGTTGATGAGTTTTGAGGCTTTCTAGGGGGTTGCTTGGTCAATTTGACACACACCTGTGCCTGATAAGTGGTGGTAGAAACAAGACCCAAACACTGCTCAAGGCTCTTTATATTAGGATTTGTTGCATCCCCTCAGCTTGCAGTTTGTCTTGTTTTTACATTTAAACTTCAATGGTTTTGTGAGTGCGGCACAGACAGGCTTACTCCTTCTGTTTTCTGAAACGCTGCTGTGTTACTGATCCTTTAGAACAACGACAATGAGACGGCGCTGCATTGCGCTGCTCAGTATGGCCACACTGAAGTGGTGAAGGTTCTCCTGGAGGAGCTGACTGACCCCACGATGCGCAATAACAAGTTCGAGACACCGCTGGATCTAGCCGCACTCTACGGAAGGCTGGAGGTCGTGAAGATGCTGCTGAATGCTCACCCCAATCTTTTAAGCTGCAACACTAAGAAACACACCCCCCTGCACCTGGCAGCTAGGAATGGACATAAAGCTGTAGTCCATGTCCTCCTAGATGCTGGCATGGATAGCAACTATCAGGTATCTTGCCAATCCATGTATGAATCTAGTGCAGATGGAAGGGGTCCGATAGCAGCCAAGGAGGCTAGAGTCCTCTCCATAGAAAAGGGGCTATAGGGTAGGGCTAGCTTCTCTTACGGACTCTCTGGATAAGAAGAGTTCCCATTCAGTTCCTGGTCCCTTGTGAGGCAGATACACAAGTGAAATGTGCCCTGAAAGAGATGAGAGAACTTGTTCTTTTCCTACCAAATCACTTCTTAAAAGTTTTTATTTCTGTGCTAAACATCAAGTACTCTTACTCTTCTCTTTGTTTCCCCCAGGAGTACACACACTTTAAATAGATTTTGGAGAGTATTTACTTTGAATTCTAAGAGCCCTCCCATGTTTCACGTAACCTTTCTCCCACTTCCACATTCTAAATGCCACGGAATAGCCTCTCTCACTGACCCCAGTAAGGCATAGTCATTGTTTGTGAGTTTTTTTGTCTAACTATGGATGTTGTTAGTTTTTTCTTGTTGATATAACGCCCTGAAATGTCCTACAACAGTAATTCCTAAGTCTAACTATGCATGTCGTTAGTTTTTTCCTGTTGATATAACCCCCTGAAATGTCCTACAACAGTAATTCCTAAACTATATGGGGTGGGACCCCACTTTAGTGGGATCACCAGGGCTGACTTAGTGTTATTAGGGCCAAAGGCTGACATCTGACCCCCTGTTGCCCAGGGCTGACCCACAAGCCCCAGAGATTCAGTGCTGGGTGGTAGGGCTCAGGGTAAACCCTTTGGCTTCGGTCCCCCGCCCATGGGGGGGAGGGGGCAGGCGGGGATTTTGGCTTTGGTCTGTTGGAGTCATGTAGTAGTTTCTATAGTCAGAAGCAGGTCGCAGTGCAATGAAGTTTGAGAAACTTTGTTTTAGGGTTACTGATCCTGATCTGGGCTCATGGTACACTGTTTAACTTTTACAGACTGAGAAGGGCAGTGCTTTGCACGAGGCTGCTTTGTTTGGCAAGACAGACGTGGTACAAATATTACTGGCTGCAGGTGAGAGAACGACATTTTGACACACTAGCCTGGAGATGGTTTTACCAGGAGCATGTGATAAGGGAAATGGTGCATGGTGCCAGCATTTTTCTCTTATCAGCCAGCTATGGAAGAATCTGGGTGACTCGTGGAAGAGGTATTCCCTGGGTAATTGGGTCTTCGGTCTGTTTGGAGGAAGAATTTCTTTAATGTCTGGTAATGACCAGAAGAGCATCTAAATCATGACTCGGTTACAAGAAATTGGCTTTATTGCAGATCATCTGAAAATGCTGTGTCTTCCTGCCCTCCTCTCTCTCTCTCTCGTAGGCATTGATGTGAATATAAAAGATAACAGAGGCCTGACAGCTCTGGATATTGTGAGAGAGCTTCCTTCTCAGAAAAGCCAACAAATAGCAGCTCTCATTGAAGGTAAATAGAGTGTGTGTGTTGGGGGGGGAGGGGGAGCGGGGAGGCGGACAGGGAAGGGGCTTATAGGTTCTCATCATGCATATTTTTCTTGTCTAAACGTACGTGTGGCCTGCAGCCATATGACCTTGGTCTGTGATCCCAGCAAACATCATAGGGGAGGGCAGTGCTAGGAAGGAAGTGTTGAAGGATGCTGCAAGAAGCAGTGTTTTACCTCAGTAGGTGGTACTCTTCCTTCTGAGTTATTGATTGTGTGTCCCACCATGATGTGCTGGGTGCGATCTAGGGAAATAAGTGACTAGTCGACTATCTAATAAGCATATGCTTATTGAGTAGTTGACTAGTGACTCGACTAGTCGCTTCCTCCCTCTTTGCGGCCTCTATCAGAGGTGCAGCAAGGGGGGCAGGAGCAAGAGTCAGTGCTGGGGGGAGTTGGCTTAAAGGCCGGTTCCCTTCAGTACCATCTCTGTGGGGGAGCAGTGGAGGAAGAGGTGTAGTGGGCGATTGGGTGTGAGCCAGGAATCAGGTGATTACTCCTCCTCTTCCCCCACCCCACTGTGCTTCAGTTTTTCAAATGTATTGCCTGGTGGCTTTTAATACATTTAAATGGCAGAGCCACAGCGGGGTTAGCTCCCGGGGCCAGGAGCTCACCCCACAGAGGCTCCACAGTTTCGCCTGCTGATCAACTAGTCGATGGACTTTCCAAATGCAATTTAACATCCCTATCGAGTCATTATTTTTTCAGACGACTTTCTACCACAAAACAGTTAAATATTCATTATTCAACTGCCCAGCCTGGAAGACGTAGCGTCCTAAGTTCTCACTTGAGTAAAATTTTCTTTCCGTTGGATATGGGGTTTGGCGCTCCTTGCACGTAACTGTTAGTAATTCTACTTAGCATTTGTGTAGAGTGTTATCGGTTCCATGCACTCTGCAAACATGAACTAGTTGAACTTCTTGCCGCTCCTGTGAAGTTGCCAAACACTGTGCTCGTTTTTACAAATGGGGAAACAGACTGCTTGAAGGCTGGAAGCTTTCACGTCTTGAGTGGCATGAGTGAGACACTTAATCTCATGTGTCTAATTTCAGGCTTTTCAAGTTGGTGTTTCTAGCGTAACTGTCTTTCCCATGATCATAGGTCTCTGATGAGAATCAGTCTCTCTTGTCATCATGTGCTGGTCCACATGACTACACTGATTTTTTTTTTTGGTCTCACAAAACAGCTTCACAGCAATCTGATAAGATTGGGTGTGTTGTAATTAGTTGATCTGTATAGAACATGGAGCACATGCTGCTGACTCAGGCAATAGAACTGTCTGCCTAACTTGGTAAGCAGCAACCCCACTGGTGAGTTTCTCACTATTTGAATGTTGCTTTTTCCTCTTTGCTGCACAGATCACACAACTGGGAAGAAGAGTGCGAGAGAGGCAGAGAAGGCTTTGTTAACACCTGTCATTCCTGCCACTGAACCTGCAGTCCGGCTACCACGTGGTATGAAATCTGCTGTCTGGGAGGCAGGGCTTGAGTTTCAATGTGGTGTTGAGATGACTAATGATGACTCTGCTGTTGCGAGTACGGAAGAGGCAGGGTTCAGTTATAATAAATCCAAAAGTCATGCTTTGTGCTCAGCAAGCCAAATAGTCTGAAACCATGATCCCTCCCCGCCGTACTCAGTTCTTTAAACACAGCTTGTATAACGTATCTCATCTATTGCCATTGAAATGAGTGGCTGTATACCTTCATAAATTCAGAGGGAGCTGCCATTTGTTTGATCTCCTCTTTTATTGGCTAAGCAGCACAGTAGCAAATGATCAGTAAAACACCTACCTAACATATCAAGTAAAATGCAGTTGTGATGCTTCCTATATGTGATTGATCTTCCTTTAGAGTCTATTAAAGTAGTGGCTGCATTCCATGGCTGCGCTGTAGTGACACAAAACTGATGGAGACTCAGATCTATAGAACAATTTTTATAACCGAGGAAAAAATCCTTTCGCCAACACTGATCAAGGAAGGAAGCCTTATTCCTAGAATGGTGTGAGCAGTCTTGTGGGTAAGACACCAAACTGAATGAAGACCCTGTCAGCTGTTCTCTAAAAGGGCAATTCCTAGTGAGTTTGGAATGTTCTTGTGTGGACGTGTTCATGGTATCTAAGCAGTGATGCATATGGCCTCAATTACTGTTCAGTTGCCAAACCCCTTCTCTTGCTTGATTTAAATCAGTAATGTTGAGCCATAGAGATATAGGCATGAAAAAAACCTTGATAGGTCACCTAATCCAGTCCCTGGTCCAAGGCAGGACTAAGTAGTATCTAAGCCTTTCCTGAGAGGGGTTTAGACACATGCCTATCTGTTAGCCAACTTCAGTTTCTACAATCTCTCTAGGTAACTTTTTTTCTTTCAGTGCTTAATTTTTCTTGCAGTTAGGAAGTTTTCCTAATGTCTAACCTCAATCTCCCTTGCTGTAATTTCAGACCACTACTACTTGTCCCATCTTCAGGGATTAAGGAAAACCCATGTATTTATATATGGAGTTATACCTATCTCATAAAACTGGAAGAGACTTTGAGAGGTTATCCAGTCCAGTCCCCCGCCCTCATGGCGCAGGACCAAGTACCATCCCTGACAGATTTGCCTTAGATCCCTAAATGGCCCCCTTGAGGATTGAACTCAATGCTGTTTTAGTAGGCCAATGCTCAAACCACTGAGCTATCCCTCCCTCCAGCTGTTGCTTATGTACTTAACTGAGGGGGAACATAAGAATCTTTTCTTCTCCAGGCTAAACAAACCCAGTTGTTTCAGCCTTTTCTCATGTGTCACGTTTTTTAGACCCTTAATTATTTTGCTACTTTCCTTTGGACTTGAATTTATCCACATCTTCTGGTAGCCAGAACTGAACGCAGGATTGCAGCGGACGCCTTTTCAATGCTGAGTGGTGTGGGAGGATTACTTCCCATATCTTGCTTACAACACTCCTGCTAGTATGTCCCTGAAGGATGCTGGCTTTTTTTGGTAACAGTATTGCATAGTTGATGCATATACAGTTTGTGATCCCCTATAATTCTCTGATCCTTTTCTGCAGGATACCTTCATTTTCACTCTTACACTCACACACTCTAGTGAGAGTTACCCAGCGTTGCTCAGGAAAGTGGAGGAACAAAATTTAGAGAAACAGTAGTCCATTATCGTTTTGTGAATTGTAGAAAAGGTGCACTGAGTTGTATACGGATTAAAATATACTGAGCTCGACAAATGCACTCGCCCGTTGCTGGTAGGTTTTATCAGGTGGCGAGTGCAGGGGTGGACTGGCCTGGTGGGCCGTTGTGACGGGCTGCCCAAAGCCCGCACTACGGGCGGCGTGACCCCATCCGATCTGTTGGCCGCGCGGAGGAGTGGAGTGCTGCTGGGAAGGGGGAAGTGCAGTGATTCTCAGCGCCGGGCTGCCTGTGTGCAGTTCCGGCGCGAGGAGGCAGGGCATGAGCCAGAGGGCGGGACGCCGGCAGATGCCAGCATGTTATGGCTCTGTTGATTTTAAAGGGCCGCGGCAGCTCGGCTCTGGCTGTGTGGCCCCGGGAGCTGGCTGCAGTGCAGCCAGGCCCTGCCCCGCCAGCTCCAGTCCTGCCATGGACCCAACCCCCTCACCGGTGAGAGACGGCTCCTGGCCAACCATCTGGCTCGCTTCACCCACCCCGCATCCCTTTGTCTCCGCAACGCCCTTTCCTCACACCACCCCTGTTCCCCTTTACCCCAGATCCCCTGCTCTCCCTCTTCCCTGCGACTCTCTGGTTCTGTGCCGCTCTTGCACCCTGCTCCCCTCCGATCCCTGCCCCCCCAGCTCTGTGCTGCCCATTCCCTGCCCCGCCCCTAGACCCCGATCCCTCTGCCCGTCCCGTTCCCCCCACGTCCCATTCTCCGTGCCTCCACCGCACCCTGCGTCCCTCTGGCTCTGTGCCTCCCGTTCCCAGCGCCACTCCGGTACCCCACCCTCCACTGTTCCCTGCACCCCTCTGGCTCTGTGCTGTCCCTGCACCCTGTTTCCCCTGTGGGTCGGGAGTGAGGGGTGCCTGTCCATAGGGAGGGGCTGGATAGGGCAGGCAAAAGGCTGCTGTAATCCAGCAGCAAGTGAAAGTAGGAGTTCACTTGAAGCACCTTTGCCTTTATGGAAAAAAACAAATGAAAATGCTGCTTGCTGTTTATAGGGCTAAAATGCTGGGACAAAAATGAAAACAAAAAAAAACCATTGAAAAATGCAAATGTGTAAAAGACGACAAAAAGGGGGGGGCGGCCAAAAATTTTTTGATTGGGGCAGCAAAAAACTTAGAGGGGAAGGGACTGGGCTGGACTGGACTGTGGGGAGGGGAGGGGAAAAATATGGGGAAGAGGCTTCTGTGGAGGGGAGGGGAGGAGAGGAGGTCAGGAGAAGAAGAAAGGGGAACGCACCAAGGGACAGGAGTGCAGGAGAAACAAATGCCAGGGTGCCAAGTGCAGACAATGAGGTAAAGGGCAGGAGGGGAGGTGTCAGTGGGAGGGGAGACAGGGTGATGCTGGGAGAGGAGAGAGTAAGGGCATTGGGGGCTAGAGTGGGAAGGGGGAGGTGCTGGGAGAAGGCTAGAAAGAAGGGGTGGGCATGAGGAAGGCGGAGATGGAGCAAGGCACGTGTAAAGGCACAGGGTATGAGGGGGAACGGGGGCAGAGGGTGGTGAGACAGTACTTAAGCAAGCATTAAAGGCTCTGTGTTCAGATGTATTTATCAAGATGGAAAAAATACAAAATAAATACCACTTGAATAGACTTACAAAATCCATGTTTTGTTCTCTTTGCAGCAGTTAACTAAACATAGCCTGAGAGCTACATTGACATCAATAATGAACTTTTCCCTTCCTTATAAAGGACCAGTCTACCAAAGCATTGTGTGCTTTACAAATTAAGGTCCTGATCTTTCAAATGGGTAAATTTTATACATAGGTACAATTTCATTGCATTCTATATTCATACGCATAAAGTCCATTTAGAGGACTAGTATCAAATATCTAAAATTCGTCATAAAAAAGTCAAATAAATATATATATATACATACACACACGCACGCACACACACACGCACACAAGCGGGAGTTACGTTGCTCGGGAAAGTGGAGGAACAAAATTTAGAAAAACAGTAGTCCATTTTCGTTTTTTGAATGGTAGAAAAGTTGCACTGAGTTCTATAGGGATTAAAATATATATATAAAAAAAGTATAAAACAACCAATTTTACATGTTATCAAAAACTGTATTGTAAACTATATTTTTGTTTCATTATTCTTAACAAATATGTACACATTTTTTCCACTTCCAACTCTTGAACATGCAACATAGAGTTGTCCATGTGAAAAATAAGATGTCTCCAAATCAATTTCAGCTACTTTAAGTGACTGTCCTTGTGCTTTGTCAATATACATTGTTGATATATAAGTTGACAGTTGATATAACTGAGGTGAGAAGCCTGAGGGGAGGGAGGGGAAACGGAGCCTGCTGCCTGAGTCCGAGCCCGCCTTCAGCTTCCTTGTCCCTCCACCGGCCTTAGTGAGTGACAGACCCCGCCGCTTCCTCCGGGAAGCCACTTCTCCCCACACTGCCACGCTCCGTGCAGTCCCAGGGAGAGGCATCAATTTCTCATCTCTTCCCTCGCACAGTACCTTAAAACCTTCTCCTGGATAAAAGTTTATCCCATGCAAAGTTTGGTTGCGGTAGCTCTTATAGTGTCAAGTTATTAGCACATAAACTGTGTGTGTGCGTGCATGTGTGCGCGAGCGATTATTCCTTAAGAGTAGTACTTTGTGTTTGTCCTTACTGATTTTCATCCTGTTTATTTTAGGCCATGTCTCTGGTCATCGTTGTGAATTCTAGTCTTGTCCTTCAAAGTGCTTGCAACCCCTCTTGTCCCAATCCCATCCCTACACTCGATGAGTGTACTGTCTGCCCTTACCCAAAACATTTCTGAAGTTGTTGAAGGACAGATCCAAACCCAGGACAGATCCATGGAAGACCCCACTCCCTTCCAGCTTGACTGAGAAGTTGATAACTACTCTCTGAATATGGTTTTCCAACCATTTATGCACACCTTAGTTGCTCACAAGTTTGTTTGAGAGTCATGTGGGACAATATAAAAAACTGTACTAAAGTTGAGATCACATCTGCAGCTTCCCTCTATCCACGAGGCTTAAAACCCTGTCAAAGAATGATATTAGGTTGGTTTGACATGACATGTTCTCAACAAACTTATGTTGATTCTTTCTTATTACCATATTTTCTAGGTGCTTACTAGAGATGGTACATTTAAATCAATTAACTAATCAAATAGTCGATAGGATTCAAAAGCAGAATCGCAACACAACTGGTGCAAGTGGAGACTGCTTCAGTCCCCACTTGTGCTGTTTCCCACTGTGCTTCTACCTCCCTTGCACCCCCTGGAGACCGTGCTGGGGGGAACCAGTTTTTAAACCAACTCCTCCCAGCACCAGTTGCTGCTCTCCGGGCCTTGCTGCCTTTCTCTGATAGAGGCAGCAATGGGAGGAAGTGACTAGTCGCATCACTAGTTGACCATCTGATAAGCTTATGCTTATTGGATAGTCAACTAGTCGCTTACATCCCTGGTGCTTACAAGTGGATTTCTTGATTATTTGCTTGATAATCTTTCTGGATACCAAAGTTAAGTTGACTGGACTGTAATGCCCTGGGTTTTCCTTATTTCCCTTCTTATATACAGGTACCACCCTTAGCTAGCCCTGTAGGATCTCTTCTGCCCAGCATGAGTTCTCAGAGATAATTGAAAAGCCTCAATTTAAACAATTTTAGTCGGCTTCTCCATTTGTGCTTCAGTTACATTTCTAAAGAAAAGTACCTTCTCCCTGGCTGATTTAATTATTAAAGCAAGTTAAATAATTACAGATTTATAACTAAATAGTCTTTACAGTAGACTTGATATATCTTTTTGCTATGGACAAGATTATATTATAGCTCTATACAGTTGAGCAATGATACAATTAATCTGAAAATATTAAGGTATAATGTTTTACTATGTTAGAAAACAAATGATATATTGCTATTTACTAGATAACTTGTTCAGTATTTGTGTCAAGCTGAATGAGAAGTTTAACTGGAATTTTAAATACAACAGCATACAATGTATTGAACAATAACCTTAAATGTTTAGAATCGTTAACTTTTATCAGAACCAGTTTCACATTTATAATAATTATATTGGTTAGAACTTAACATATTGTTAAATTGCGATTTTTAAAATCGACCCGTTGAAAATGAAAAGAAATACGTCTTGTATTTTGTTACTTAAACGACAATATCTGATTTCAGTATCAAACCTCACCTCCTGCCACACATCATCAGTTTATATCTGCACTACTTGCTTGTAATCCTGCTTTGTTTGGCTCATACAGTTCTCAAAATGTGATTGGTGGGGCATTCTCATTCCCTCCAGGTGACGTGGAGAAAGCAGTGACTGAACTGATCATAGATTTTGAAATGCACCCAGAAGAAGAGAGTCCTTATGAAGCTTTATACAATGCCACATCGTGCCACTCCCTGGACAGCCTGGCCAGTGGGAGATCTTCAGACAGAGACTCGGTGAATAAGGAAGCAGAAACATCTGGTCTTAAGGCAGCAGGAGTCAGGCCTGTATGTAGTCATGTGTGTTTGTCTTTAGGGAACATAGAAAGTGTTTGCCATTCCCAGACGTACTGCACCCTTGCTACAGGCTCTTCAGGACCCAGCTCCACAGTGGGGAGTAACTTCTAGATCCTCCGCTTAGCTTGAGAGCAGTCGGGGTGGTCTCCCTCTTCAGCCTGGGATGTGCGTGTTGCCTCCACAGTATTCCCCATGTGTACCTACTTCTACGTCACATCAGTCTTTCTGTCCAAGTCTATAAGTAGGTGACTATGGCTGTGCTGAGCCAGACCAGTGGTCCATTTAGCCCAGTGTCCTGTCTTCTGATAGTTGCTAGTTGCAGATGGCTGACTGCACATTGTGAGAAGAGTATGTGTTTTAAATCTGCTACTTATTAATTGCATTGGTTTGGGCTCTGAATCCAACATAGTGTTGTGCTGCTGAGCTGAATTTGATGCTCACAGTATTACTTAAGCTGTTGGGAATATTTTTGTTTAAGCTTTAACTTCTTGGCTATGAGGAAACTTATGGAGCTTAGTATGATTCTCTGAGGTATGACAGTTTTCTCCGCCCTTGTCACCCTCTGCCCTCTCTAAAAAATGTGTAACCCAGTCACCTTTGGAATCTTGGTGGTAAAATCAAGTTTGAGGGTAAAACAAAGCTTGTTGCCTCTGGAGCTTCAGCTGTTGTGATAAGAGTTGGCAGCAAATTTGTATTGCATTTCATTTGCAGACAGAATCCTGCAGAGGGCGCTGGAGGCTTTACAAGAGTATTGTGTAGTGGTTGGGAGGTCTTTCAAAGAAATCAGCGAAACTAGCCTTTTATTAATTGCATCTGCTGGGTCTTTAACAGCTCTTGGCAACCTTTTGCTATAGGGTAGGTGGACTGTTAGGCTCCTGGCATGTTGTCTGTTTCAGGGTCCTTTATTGGGACGTTGCAGAGATAACGAAAGCAAGAATTCACTAGCTAACTAGATGCTGAAACCCGCTTTGTACATTTTTAAAATGAGAATCCATGTAATCTCCTTTTTCTTCTAGTACGTTGGTTACTGGATGAGTGGTGCAAGACCAACCTAAAAAACAAGTTTCAGGGAAAATTTCTACTAGACCCAAGCAAATGCTGCCATGAACCACAGCTGAAAGTAGACTAAGTCCATATATGAGGCCTTTTTGTAATAGTGCCTGCTTCAGGCCAAGTCTGCCCAACTGGGATAGGAAGTGCTCTGAAAAGTAGACACTTATTGGAGTTCCCCAAAATCTACTGACGGTTTGGAGCAAGTGCCTGACGATTCATGCTTGCCAGTAGGTGTTGCTGCTGCAGAAAGCATGAGAGGCTATAGCTTAGTCTAGAGCAGTGTTTCCCAAATAGTGTTCTGCAGGAAGTGAAAATAAGGTTTCAGCGAGAAAATTCCATTACAATAACATTTTATGATTTAAAAATAATTAATATTTAAGCATTTGTGAATTTTATTGAAAACAACTTTCATTTGTATTTGCCACGATGTGTCCAGCTTAGCCAGAGAGTGGGGACAATGTCACTACTCATTGCGATGTCCCTATTTTAGACTGTCAGGGGTTCCGCAAAATTCTTTCGCGTTTAAAAGGATTCCATAGCCAAATAAAATTGGGAAACACTGGTCTAGAGACAGTGCAAATGCCATTTGCACATGGCAGGATTTTTAGAGAAAAGTAGTAACCTTGTGGTCCAGTCTCTTGTGTCTTCACAACTGAGCACACCTCTACAACATTTACTCCTACTAATGAAACGGAGTAACACAAAGTATCTGAATACGTTCTCCATTTCTTGCAGTATGCGCGATATGATGTGATTAATCCTTTGCAACTCCAAGGGGCACAGAATCAGATGCTTTTGTGAAGGAGGAAAGGCACCAGCTCAGCTGGGAATCTCCTGGCTCTGTTAGGGAAAACCCCTATTGCTGTCTGTCACGCTAAAAAGGCTGATCAGGGGATACTAGGGGGCTGTTCCCCCTGCTTGCTGTGCTCGCCAACCCCCCTCTCTCTGAGGGTAGGCAGCCCCACTCTTGCCCTGGCTGCTGGGGAGGGCCAAGCTGAGGACACAGCCCCCCCAACTCTCTCCCTTCAGCTGTTGGGGGGTTGGGCTTTGCTCTCTCCCTCTGACTGCAGGGGGCTCCTCTCAGCCGGGGAGGGCCTGGAGCAGAGACCACTCTGGCCCTATCTCTTCCCCCCTTCTCCCCCTGACTTTGGCCATGAGAGGCTGACCTGACCCTTGTGTGGGCTACCCCCCCAGGCCAGCCCTGGCCCTGGCTCCTCTCTCCACCCCACTCCCCAGGGAGCAGATGAGGTCACACTGGGCCCAGCTCTCTCCTCAGCTGCCAAAAGGGGAGTCCAAAGCCACCCCCGCCCTCCCCCCCTGCCCCCAGAGATATAGGCAGCCCTGCCCCACTCCCACCCCCGGCCGGCCCTGGCTCTTGTGCCACCCCACCCCCCGGTGCCCTAAGCCTGCCCCAGCCGCTGTGAGGGGCCCAGGCCAAAGCTGCGCCAGGCCCAGCTCTCCCCTCAACCCCCAGGATTTGCTAGGCCTAAGCCATGGGGGTGGGGAGCGGTTCCTCTGCCCAGCTGCTGGAAGGGGAACTGGGCGCAGGCCCACTTGGGCCCAGGCCACACCAGCCCTGGTTCTCTCTCTCTCTCTCTCTCTCTCTCTCTCTCTCTCTCTCTCTCTCTCTCTCTCTCTTCCTCCCCCCTGCTGCCGGAAGGCGAGGCCGGGGCCGGGCCATGCCTGGGACTGGGCCAGTCCTGACCTGTTTTCTCCCTCCTTTTCCCTTTCCCCCAGCTGCTGCCAGGGAGGGCCGGGCTGAGGCTGTGGCAACTATGCTCCCACCCCCCCTTGCGGGCTGCTGCGGAGGGGAGGTCCAGGGCCGCGGAGAGGCCCAGCTCCCGGCCTGCACATGGTCCCTGGGGAGGGCCAGGCTGGAAGTGGGTGGGCTTAGCTGCTGTGGATGCAGAGTTACGTGGTGACATCACCTCTGTCATCCCACAGGAAAATTTCTAGCTACAGATATAGATGGGAGGAGGGGGGAAGAGAGAAAACTTTCCTTTAAGCATGTAAGAGGGAGCCAGAAGGAAGGAGTTTAAAACAAAGCTGTTGATGTTAGCCTTTTAAACAGCAGAGAGAGCGTCCGCCCCCTCCTGCCAAGCCGCCCCCTGACGAAGAGGAGGAGCATGTGGAGAAGAAGCTAGGTCGCAGTGCTTCCTGTGAGGTAGGCAGGCTTGGAGTGCTTTTTATTACAGGGGTGGGGAATGAGCGGTTTTAAAGGTGAGCTTGAATGGTCTGGGAGCATCCAGAGCCGCTTTGTGAATCTGACCATGAAAGTGAAGGATTCATTGTGTGGGGCAGTACTACTAGTGGCTTGATGTGGAAACTTCCCTTCTGCAATTGGAATGTTAATTGTGGATAATCAGCTAATAGAGTAGTGGATGGAATTTCTCTAATAAGGGCAGCAGCCTGGCTCCTGCTCCATTTTAAACTGCAGAGCCGCTGTGGGGTTAGCTCCTGGGGGTGGTGCGAGCCGGGATTGCTGGGAGCTAACTGTGCTGCAGCTCTGCCTTTTAGACATAGTAAGAGGCGCAGCACAGGACCCGATGCAAGTGGCTCTTACAACCTTCAAAGAGCAGCATCACTTCGCCTCTGCCTCCCCCTCCCCACTGCAGAGTTAGTGCTTCTCTTTTCCTCACTCCCCCTCCCCCACTCCTTCCCCTTCCTCGCTGCCTCTGATATAGAGGCAGTAAGCGGGGTGGGGAAGAAATACAAGTAGTTGACTCGATAACCTGATTAGCCTAGGCTATTCGATTACTCTTTTACATCCCTATTGTGCAACCCTGCCAATGCACCTCAGTCCTGACCTGAAACCCTTCCTCCTGTTTCAGACTATGAATTCCCTTAAAGGCTTTGTATCAGGGAATGGTTTTGTGTTTTGCACAATTGTCAATTATCATGAACCCACTAAATATATTTTTGGTTTAATGCTGAAGCCTGTATTTGATTCCAGGTCTGGAGAGTTGCAAGACCATTGTTGCATCTTAGCTCCCAATTGTGGGTCAGTTACTTGGATGGTGTAAATTGGTGTCACTCTACTGACTTCGGTGGAGTTGAACTGATTAATACCTGTTGAGGACTTGGCCCAGTGTATTTGTAGGAGAGAGTTTCTCCCTCCTACACACGCCTAGTCTGTATATGCTCCCTCGTCATGCAAAACATGTGTTCACATTGTACTGTTGCTTGCAGTCTGTCTTGTTCTCATTTTGCCCAATTCCAGCATGGTCTGCAAAAGGCACTTCAATGAGAAAACACCCAAAATGTTTCCTTGGAGATTTCTTCTGATATGTAATAAAGATCCCCAGCGAACCTTGCTAGCTTCCTGCTCCATTAAAAATCTTAAGCGCTCTGCAAACAAGACGTAAAAATGCAAATTGAAAATCTCTTCTGCTCCTATCACTTGAATGGACTTTCAGTTCGCCAGACACCTGGCTTCAGATTTTTGATCTGATTATCTTGCTTCACTTCTTATTTGGAGTGCAGCAAGTATACAAAGTTGTCGGTAAAAATGCTGGATTGAAAAAATGTGTTGAACTGTGTAGTACACCTGGGGATGTTGTAGGATAAAATCTATTTACAAGGCTGGTCAATGATGGCCTATTGAATGGGTTTCAGTGCTATTACATATGGTTTTTCAGACAAATTTCGTAATCCTTTCAACATGCCTCTCCTTTGATGGGGTGTGGGGGAGCTAGGGAAAGGTATCACCAGGTAATGGAAACTAGAAACTCTGTTTACAAAGGTTAGCATGTTGGAGGAAAAAAAAATACATGGTCATGATCATAATGACAAAACGCTTGCTCCTACTGTACCTCCATTAAAAGTGATGTGGAAATGTAATCTTGCTGGGGAACGTTTGCTGGCAAACAGATGTGACTTGTCAGGGGCATGCTGATTTTGAAACCAGTTGCAGTGATGTAAACTACATGCACTGCCTGTATTACGGTAGCTGTTGGTATTGATTTATGGTAGATGAGATGATAAAACTGTTTCCGTCTCAAGCACTTATTTCTGCTCCTGAAGTTCAGGTTTTCCCAGAAAGTCACCTTTCAGGATCAAATTTTCTGTGCTTGGTTTCTGCCTGAAGAGGGTGGTGTGTGTGGGTTGTGTGTGTGGGTGTGTTTTTGTTCAATTTGAGAGAGATCCTTAATTTTGAATTAGGAATAAAAAGGCAATATTTCTGTTCAGATTGCAGGAAAGCATGGCTGACTGAATCTTGGCATGTATGGCCCTCATGATGGAGTGTTCTTGACCAAGTTAAGAAATTAATAAAGATCAATAACAAAGTGATACTGGTAGGCAATTAAAACCACTTCATGAGGACATTTCAATAAAGTAGCCGTAGAAAATCTTTACCAGGGCCCAATGCAATTCTGCCACTATTGTAATAACACAACATATCAGAGGGGGTAGCCATGTTTGTCTGTATTTTCAAAAATAACGAGTCCTATGGCATATTAGATTAACAATAAATAAATCTGTTAGTCTTTAAGGTGCCCTATGACTCCTCATCACAACATATGTTCCCTGCCAAGTCTGTCTAGCACAGGGGCAGCTGCTGGGACAACAAGCCTGAGTAAGGCTCTACATGTCTCATTGAAACATATGGTGCAGAATCCTCATCTACCTCCTCAAAACCTGTTAGGGACAGGAAAAAATCACGACAGAGGAAAATTAGATGAAATTATTTTTTTAGCTTCACTCTAGAAAAGCAAAGCTTTCATTTCTATTTAGAAATAGCCTGTTACTCTATTGCCATGAGAGAACCATTACAGTATGCATTTGTTCCCCACTTATGCTTCTTGACTTTCCCAGTTGAAAGATGTTTTGCACTTATGTGCAGAATAGCTGATTTCTCGTACCTCCTGAGTGAATTCTTTCATCGCCAATAGAACCCTTCTGTCTTTGTAGTGTAATAAGTGTGAGATACCGAACACAACTTCAGCTGGTCCTTTTACTGCTTCCACTGTCAAAATGGGAAGCTTAGACACAACTAGTCTCAAAGAAAGTGATTTTTTTCAGTGGTATTGCCTATGTTTCTATCCTTGGAGGAAAGAGACAGACTTAGAACCTAAGTTCTCTGGGAGCTGCGTCTAGGTGGGGCTCATTTAGCAGCTGTGTGGCAGGGTGGCCACACAGCTGCTAAATGAGCCCCACCTAGAGGCTGCTGCCCAGAGAGCTTCTTGGCTGCGGAGGGGGCACTCACACAGCAGCAGAAGCTCCCTGCTCCAGACAACACATGTAGGTGGGGAAGGGGACATAAGGAGGGCAAGAATAAGTATGTGGCTGACATGGGAGAAGTTTGATTAGAAATCTGATTACAGCAACCGGGTTTGCCTGTAGCTTCCTGACAGGAAATCCAGCACGCTCCTCTACCATTCTGGGCTGGAAGCAGACTTCATGGGGTAGGTGGGGGAAATAGAGGCTGGCATCTGTGCAGTGAGGTGGGGACAGAGGGCAGTTGGTTTGGTCTGTCATAACTTGTTCCGATCTGGACTGCAGGCGGCAAGAGCCAAACCCTGTCTGTCACAGCACAGCAGCTGTAGTTAGGCTGCAGGCATAGGACTTTTTCCTGGGCTGGGGCTGGCTGTATGGGGTGGCACCAAAATTTCAGGTGGGTTTGAAAGCTTTTAGACTGCTTTGGAATACTGGAACAAAAGGACTAGTTCATGACATTTGCATGATGGCATTTCAAACAAAGTTTACATCAGTGTTAGTGGCTTAAGGTAAGAAAGGAAAGGATTCTTTTAACAATTTTTGTAGTGGTGTAGATATCTGCACACTTTGATCTTAATGATTTTTTTAAAAATTGTATGTTACTAGTTGATACATGGTCAGTTGTTAAAAGTGGAAGAACTTTACCATGGATCCTGTTTACTTTGACATTTCAGTTGGAGTTGGATTCTGGACAAGTGCTCTGGGGGCTTGTGACACACACAATGTGAAAGTTTCAAACCAGAACTTTTATCTTGTTTTACAGGTCTCTGTTTCACTTGCATAGCATGGATCTTAAACATTCCCCAGAGAAAGTGTATAAGCCTGAGTGAATGTGTTTAACTCTCCTTCCCGGTGTCTGTAAATATTGTATTAGTATTTTCAAGGAGAGCATGACTTATTTCTAGTTGACTCAGATTTATTTAGCATCTTAAAGCTGTGCATATTTTTTAGGCTATTACTTAATGGCCATTACTTTGATTTATTTATATAGCTATTTGCAGTACACCCCATTTTGGGGTGTTTAACTAGCTTGAGTTGTTAGAAGGACGATATTGTACTCCAAGGGTAGTGTTAATATATTAAATATCTTAAGCATTGCTCCTTGTTTTAATATATTGTCTTCCATACTTTTGGACTGTTTAAAATATATATTTATACCTAGGTTTTCTGTTTGCACTGGGACAGTCTGCACATCCACATACAGCCTCAATATTGGTGGGGCACAAGAAATTTCATCCCTGCCCAAAGATGGAAAATGTTAGAGGGAACACAGCTTTCAAAGCCACCTGTTTTTAATTGAAGCAATAAATCTGAAAGGTAGCAAAGGCCATTAAGAAACAATGAGTGGTCCTGTACTACCTTAGGGTATGTCTACACTACCACCCTAGTTTGAACTAGGGTGGTTAATGTAGGCAACCGAAGTTGCAAATGAAGCCCGGGATTTAAATATCCCGGGCTTCATTTGCATCTTGCCGGGCGCCGCCATTTTTAAATCCCCCGGTAGTTCGGACTCCGTGCACGCGGCACGGAGTAGGTAGTTCGAATTAGGCTTTCTAATTCGAACTACCGGTACTCCTCGTTCCACGTAGCTGCAGGCACGGAGTCCGAACTACCGGGGGATTTAAAAATGGCGGCGCCCGGCAAGATGCAAATGAAGCCCGGGATATTTAAATCCCGGGCTTCATTTGCAACTTCGGTTGCCTACATTAACCACCCTAGTTCAAACTAGGGTGGTAGTGTAGACATACCCTAAGGTAGTACAGGACCACTCATTGTTTCTTAATGGCCTTTGCTACCTTTCAGATTTATTGCTTCAATTAAAAACAGGTGGCTTTGAAAGCTGTGTTCCCTCTAACATTTTCCATCTTTGGGCAGTATGTATATATTTGTTAGTCTCGATGGTGCTACAGGACTACTCATTGTTTCTTTAAAGTTACAGATTAATGTGGCTACCCTTCTGAGAACTGTAGCAAATCATCCAGATCAGGAAGTGTTCAAAGTTTATAGGGTTAAATATGTTTGACAGGGTGTTAGGCAGCACAGACTGGGTGATGGCTCCTAATTAGGAGCAATAAGGACTTGATTGACTACTCAGTTGATGGATGTGATGCTAGCTTGATTCCTTCTGCCCATCCTTGGTCCATGTTTAGTTAGGGTGGATTGGGCAACACATTCTGTGGTCAGAAACAAGGCATCTAGGAGGACTCTGCATACCAGAGGGGTAAATGACACAGACTTAGAAAGAGAATTACAATATGATGTCTCTCTAGGCCTCTGTGGTGCGGAGGAAGAGCAGGGGAAGTGCAGCCGAGGAAGAGGAAGAGCATCCTTATGAGCTATTGCTTACAGCAGAAACGAAAAAGCCGCTGGCAATGGATAGAAAAACTAAAGGTAAGAGACCATACATACAGCTAGCAGTGCCCAGCCTCCCAGGATTGGCAGATGTGACCAGAGAGCATGCAGGTGCAAGAGGGGAGGAATTTGATCGTAGTTATTTCTCTGGGTTGGATGGCTGGGTTCTGTGCTGCAGTTATGTTCCTCTGGTAATGGCTTTATAGTCGCAGGGGAGAAGATTCAAATATTCCTGCCTCAGTACATGAAATAAGGGAAGGTTTTTTTGTCCTTTAGATAAATGACATCCTAGGGACTTGATCCATTGAGCTTCAATGGAATCTCTCACCTGATACAAGTAAAACAGGAACAAAAAAGATGAAAGTGGAAGAATAACCAATTCTGGTCAAACAGATGTGTGTGTAAATAGTAGTGGGTGAGATCCTGAGAAGATGTAAATCAGTGTCAGTTCAAAAGTGCTGAATCATGTCAGCTGAAGATCCAAAATCCACACAGGTACCACTGTGTATCCGAGCCAATTAGAAAAGCAAACTAGCAAAGGAGGAAAACAAACACGTAGCAAGTAAAGCAGCTGGTAGGTGCCAGAGTAAAAACCAGTCAGGCCATTTGCTCTCTCCTCCCAGAGGAATTGTCGTTCAGTTGTTTATGTGGGATTTGGGAGCCTGAGAGCTCCTCGATCTTGCTATTGTCATTTTGCTTAACATGATAGGGCATGAATACCCATGGGAGGGGAGGAGTGTGGTTACATATACACAACTCTGCAGTTGTGATCATTCTTTGCACAAATCTTGGTCCAGGGGAGTTGATGGAAGGTGGTCATCATCCATTTAGCAGAATAGGGAGCCAAAGAGGGTTCCTGATTCTTATTGGTAGGGATGTGAAGGTTTAACCAGTTAATGGTAAGTCTTAGCCTTAACAGGTGAGCCTTACTGAGTAAAGTTAACTGGTGGGAATGGAGCAGCTCCCCCCCGCTGCAGGTAAGGGGCTGCTCCAGCTCATGGGGGTGCTGTGGACAGCACCCCTTTAATTGGTTTATCAGTGAAGCAGTGTTTAACCAATGAGCCAATTGAACAGAATTTTACATCCCTGGTTTTCAGTCAGAGGGATAGTACCCCTGAAGCCAGGTTGAAGATGCAGGGTGTGTCGTGGTTCTAATGAATCTAAAGAGCCCTCCT